CCACCCTGGTGGGCCCGTCACAGTGGCAGACGCTTGACCCAGTCAGCGCGAGCAGGTCGGAGAGAGCCGCAGCCTCATCGGTTTCGCCATCTCTGGGGTTGTCAATGTGTATGTTCATGTCACCCCCCCAATACGTGGGGGTATCATCCCATCTCTCGATGGCCTGACGGATGGCATCGATGGCTTCGGCTTCTGGACGGAGGGAAGTACACAGATACCAGGCGGTAGGTGCTATCGCCTCGTCTGATCGCGGCTGCGACGGCGCACCCAGGGACGAGGTCTTCGGCTCGGAGGAGCGCCGCGCCATGCGGAATGAGGATTGCCACTCCGCCGGCGCGGCCCCCGGCTGGTCCGATGTAGGCTGGCGAGGCGATAAGAGTGCGTGCGTGGAACATGGTGGACCAGACGGCCGCTTCGTGCTCCGTCCAGTGGGTCTCCTGTATGAGTCCGATCCTCCCGTTGGTAGTCATTTGCGCTAAGAAAGCGTGTTTGATCATGTCTTTGTGTGCAGTCGTGCTCTTGAGATACCTGACGTTCCAGCGGCCCAGTTTGAGCGTGCCCAGCTGAGTGGCATTTGCGATTGCGTCGACCAGGGCCCGTAAGGAGAGGTCCCCGCAGAGGTCCGCCCACGTGGGGTCGTTCCAGGCGGTTGCATGTAGGTAGGCCCAGAGGGATCGCGGCCGCCGGACGGTGCAATTACAGCGCAGCGCCAGGGCGCGCCCCAGGGAGGAGCAGGCGGCTTGCCAAGCTCTAGTTCTCGCCCCCGGAACGAGATTCGTGAACGGGAGAGACCCGGGAGCGCGGTGCAGCGCCCCTGGGTCTTCGGGCGAGTCTAGGGGAGCGGCGGCCCATAATCGGCAAGCTGCTGCTGCAGCATGGTTCGTACTATGTCGCCTGGGAAAAGGTTTTCGGCAAGCGGTGCCCAAGGGCAATTTCTATCCGCGAAGCTGCGCGCCTGTCTCCATGCGGCCCACATGCGCCCCTCGGTCGGAGCCTCATGAAGCTGTCCGGTGATGGGTTCGTTCCTGCCCCACGCCAGGATGGAGGACACGAGTCTGCGTTGGAGGCACCTCGGGTCGCAATGGATCCCTGCGGCGTCGTGGAGCCTCCTCCCCCTAATGTCCAAGGACCGGTAGTAGGACCCCAGGCCCACTGCTCGAGCCCGCTCTTCAGGGGATGGGATCCTGAGTCCATGCTCTCTTCCGTGTGCGAGCAGCCATCCTGCCCAAGCCTTCACCTTTCCTTCGCTGGCTAAGCTCTCCCGCTCTCTACCTTGACAGACGAGGGCCAACCCTTCTGTGCAGCCTTGGAAGCTACGCTCGGCCCCAATTTCCGCAAGTATGTTCTTAATGCCGTTCCTGGTGTCGGAGAGGGTGCGGAGGAGCCACCTGTAGCTGCTGTCTTCGCTGTACAGGAGGCACAGTGGGTGCGTCCAGTAGCTGCACGGGACTATGGCCTCGGGGGCATTGGCGGGAGCCTTGGATTGGGCCCAGGTGGGGATGCGTCCGTCTGGGCTATAGGTCCACCGTCTTTCCCAGGGACTTGGGAGTCTGGGACACGTGACAAGATCTTCGGCGGGAGGGCAGTTGCTGAGCCAGAGGCGATCTCTCGGGCTGGCCACTGTGGGGGCGGCGTCTGGGCGGACCGCCCAATCGAGTGGAAGCTCTCCCAGGGCCGTTCACATTGCCTGCTTGTGTGCCGAAAGGATCGTAGCTGGGCCTTCGCAGCATATCAGGACGCGCACGTCCGGCCGAAGTCTACGCGCGATGTTCCATAGAAGCGGCGCGGCGAAGAAGTGCACTGACTGAGAGCCAGCGAGCCCGTCAAGGCCTCCGTGCTGGCTGGCTGCGGACAGGTTGGCACACGGGAGTCCGGCCATGATGACGAGGAGGCTTCCAGGATCCAGGGTTCTCAGGTGGTCGGACAAGGGAGTTTGTCCGTCGTCTCCTCTTAGTGGATCCCAGACATCGACTCCTAGTCTCAAGTGTGGGGGGGCCCCGTCAAAGCGTGTAGCGTCGTCACGGTCCCACCGCCTTTCGACTCGAGATGCCGCTTCTTCGTTTATTTCGACAAAAGCGGAGGATCTGAAACGTGGAACGGCGGCAACTTTGGCCATGAGGTCGTCGATCGCAAGTCTCGCCAGACCCCATCCATCGAAGAGTGAGACGAGGTGCAGGCTTGATCCCATGGCGGCACTCGGGCTCGGTCTAGGGTCGACCACTCGGGCTCTTGCTTACTGAGTGAAATCGAGCGTCCAGTCGCCCCCTAGCCTGGGGTCGGCGTTTGAGTGGAGCCTAAGGTGCCCCGAGATGCCCCAGGTGCCGTCGGAGGAGCCGTGGGAAACAATGCCATCCTGCTGAAGAGCCCTGAGCGCGCTGATGATCTGCGCGTTGTCCAGACCTGCGATTTGGTACGCGGCCAGCGTCGTGTCGGCAGGGGCGACCGGGGAGAGGCCGGTCCGTCCGTCCCTGTGTCGTTCCCATACCTGCTGGAGCACATCGGCAGGCTGGGGGGCTGCAGTGGGCTCGTCTGGTGTGAACCCCGCTGGTCGGGGTCGCGGCCTGCGAGTCCGGCCGCCCTCCGCACTCGCCGGCCTGGAAGCCCGTCTTGCGACGCCTCGGCAGGCTGGTGGGGGTGCCTTCGCCTGCTCTGTGGCGGGAACGCTCCCAGAGGTCGACCAGGGTCCTGGGATTGGGTGCCCTGGTGCCTGGTCTGGTGGACCTTTCCCTGCTGGCGTTGCCTGCTGCTCTGGCTCGAGCCGTGCCTCGCAGTGAAATCCTACGTGTGCCTTCCGCCCTGCCCCGGGGGGCTCGGCGGGACGGGCCCCTGCGCGCCCTGTCAGCGGCGGCGCTGCGCGGCTGGGCGCTGGCTTCGGGCGGTCGCGGCTCGGCCGCACTTCTGGTTCGGGCGCGTCTGGCCACAGCGGCGTCTGCTGTGTTCACGATAGTCCCAGCCGGGGTGCGTGCACGTCTGGGCGCGCCGGCGCGTCGGGCGGCGTTTCCGGATCTACGGAGGTTCCTTGCAGAGGCCTCTACTGTCTCACTCAGGACCTGGTCTCTGTCTTCGGTGAATGGCGCGCCGGCTCCCGCGCCCAAAATGGCGCGGAGCATGGCTGGCGCCAGGCCCTGGAAGGGGGTCTCGGGCGCCGACGCGCAGTCCGAGCGAGCCGCCGGGCTGCCTGCGAGCTGTCTCAGTTGGGCACAGGCTGCGTCTGCCGTTAGCGCCACATTGCGTGTGTGAATTATCCTGCCCGTGGGGTTGCGCGTCCCAGGGGGTGGACGGGTGCTCCAATAGGCGCTGAAGGCATCTGGAATTCGCATGGTGAGGCCAAGGTCTTCGTGTAGGTCCCGTACGGTTTTGTCGAGTTGCGGTATAGCAGCAGCCCAGGCTATCGCGCTGAGCACTTGGTTCCACTCGTCCTCGGTGGGGGGGCTACCTGTGCCGTCGGTGGCGCGCACCTGCGCTTGTCTGAGCGTGCCCGCCATGGCTTCATACTTCCGTCTCCACTCCCTCTCCATGCACGGAAGGAGTTCGGGCTCGTTTCTCGGCGTATCTCCTCGTCCCAGGGGATCGCTACTGCAGCTTTGCACCGTGCCCGGAGGCGGTCTCCTGCTCTGGGCTGATGCTGGGTCTGTTGGGGCCCGTGGAGGTGCGGTTTTCGGGGATCCTTCCCCCCCGTCGTTCGTTGCCCAGGTGGTCGCGGGTGTACACTGCGCGTCTCTGGCGCTGGCCGGAGTCATGGCCCCACCGTTCCCAGTCGTGGGCTGCTCCAGGCTGGCATGCGCGTCTGCTGGAGAGGTCTGATCGCCTCTGGGCGCGCCTGCGCCGGTGTGGTTCCCGGGACTGCCTGTGGTGCCCGCTCCACTTACTCCTGCTGTCTCGGCAGAGGTGTCGGTTGGCGCGGGGTCTTCTGTGCTCCCAGGGCTCGGTCTGGTTTCGTGGACCGGGGTGCGGGTCCGCGTGAATCCACCGCTGGGTGTCGCGGGATTCACAAGGGTCACCCGCGGGGGATCTTGCCTGATGTTAACCTCGCGGCCTACGTCGATGTCCACCTCTCTGCCACCTGGCGACCTGGCCAGGGATGGTGGTGTCGCACCCTGTTCAGGTGCAGCCAACAAGGTTTGTGGTTGTGTCCTATTCGCGTTCATAGCAGGGCTGTCGTTAGATCCACCGCTGGGGCCTGTCCGTGTCTGCACTGTCGGCGCTGTCGTCAACCCAGGGCCTGTCGGAAGAGCAGTCGATCCAGGAACTGGGGTGGCTGACGGCCTCACGTCGCTGGCTTGCGTGCATGCGACTCCCGTCTCGTTGTTCGCCCGACTGCGGCTTCTGCGCTCGTTCACACCTGGAAGGTCAACAGGCCTGTCCCCCGCGCCCGTGGTTCTGGTTGCCTGGGGGCCTCCTCTCCGTCCCCGGGTCACCCTACCAGGATCGTGGCGCTGCCGCTCCTCCCAGTGGAGGTTTGAGGGCCTGTTGATCAGGGCGCCCAGGGCGCTGGTGACACTCTCTGGGATGGGATGCGCGGTGGCGGCGTCAACGTCTGCACCTCTGGATCCAGGGACTTCGAGCCACGGCTGGTGTGCTGAAGCTGGTGGGGATACGCGAAGCGTCCAGAATCTGCGGCTGCCTCGGCCACGCGGAGACGGACCTCCCAGTAGTTCGTTGTGAGTTTCGCTAACTTCTCTCTGTTCTCTCGCCGCCGAATCTCTCGCAAGTCGTCGGCGTCCCTATCGAATATCCTCTTTTGTTGTGGTGTCAGCTTTTTCCATCTCTTGCCATGTCCCCTGACGATCAGCTTACCCACGCCAGGGACTGCAAATGCCCGACTATCAGGGTTCTGGGCCGTCAGCTACAACGATCGACAATATGCGTGCCTCCCCCTAATGTTTAGCACGCGTCTCCTACGCAGCTTCTCCATTTGGCTGCCCAAGCGTTCTAAGACGACACGGTCATGGCAAGGCCGAAACAACGGGGATGCCTGCTTCAAGTAAACACGAGCGCACATGGTCTCTCTGCCCAAGTGCTTGTGCAAACGCGTCAGGTGGGACGACGCGCTGTGTGGGTCCTCGACTTGCTTGCCACTCCACGAAACTTGCCCTAACAAAGTCACTGTCTTTTCTAGTTGCTGTGGCGAGTATCCCATATGGAGGAGATCGAAGATCCTCTGGGAAACCTCTTCGGTAGGCCTGGCCCCGTCTCGGAGCGCCTCTAAGTTGGTGATGATGCTCCCTCTAAGCAAGGTCCATGGCAAGCAGTGCACTCCCCTGAACCTCTCCCTGCAATACGCCAGCTGCGTTGTCACCGACACCAGAATTTCGTCGAGGAGATCGGTGATGGCCATATTGCCCTAAACAGAGAGTTTGTGGATGATGTGATGTGGTATTGCTAACGCCGCTTTGGCAGCCTCGCGCTGCTCCTCTTCAGCCTGATCCACCAGCAGTGCCAATCGATCAGCTTTCAGCAGAATTCCCAGAAGCGTATCGCTTACACCGCATGTACACATCATTACCAACAACATCCTACGTACTTTATTGGACAATCGCTCGAATCCTTTGATGTAGTACTTGATATCCGATGGTTTGTTGATGATGTGCGCGACCAACGATTCCAAACCAAAGTGCAAGCTCGCCGCAAGACGCTTGCTGGCAAAACCCATCGTGCACCACCTGCTCTCGGACCATTTCGGGAAGCGCCAAATGTACATCAACGCAGCAATGATGGGCGTGAGGCCATCGGGAACGTCTTCGAAAGCAGTGTTCACCTTGAGGAACCCATCCTCCCATCGAGGAGCCATGTTGAGAAATAGCTGCATCCAATCATCTCCAATCGAAAACAACAGGTAGAGAGGTTCCAGACTTTCACCCCTGTAGTCCTCGTAACAGATGTGCCCCGCCAACCACTCTGGCAAATTGCGGACCAATTTGTCGAAGGACTCGCGGAGACTCTGGAGGATGACCCATGTATCGCGCACAGTGCCCTGCTCAACTGTATGATGCAAAGTCGCCCACTTCAGGCTGTTGTGGACGTCGTGCAAGGAGCATCCCAACACAACCACCCATGACTTCAATATCAAAAAAGGCGCGTCCCCAGGTCGGTCGTCAATCAAGAACTGCTCCAAGGCCGCATGGCGCTGCCGGAAACGATACTCGACACTAGATTTCACTGCTCTGTCAAACGTGTAAGCGGAAATGACAATGTCGTTGGCCCCCTCAAGTCTCGCACCCGCCCAAAGTTGTGTCAAAGCGTTGTAAGAAGTTGGGTGCGTCTTGTCCTTCACACTCTTCAAACAGCGGCCGGACTACCCCTTCGCAGCTCGCGAGAAACACTCGCTGTACCAAATACTCATGGCATTCCCGTCCATTTCGTCTAACTCGATATTGTCCCCATTGAATGCTATGCCTCTCCTCGGTGCTCAAGGGTGTGGAATCTGAGCTCGCGATCTCCAAAATGGGCGCCTCGCTGTTGTCCCGCACAAAAGCCTCTGCACGGTGGCGCAAGAACTGCTTCAGCACTTCGGCATGCTTTGCCACATCTGTTCGCTCACCCGTGCTCAGCACCAAGGACGGTTGCGACAAGCGGAGCAAATCTTGGTGTGGTTGTCTGGTTTGGCCACGTGGCCCAAACATTTTCTGAGCCAAAATGGCTACGGAATTCCACCAGCCCTTTAGGGCGCAGGGGGTCTAGGGCGGCTTCTCTTCCGACCACCTTCTTCCCCTTCGGGGAGAGGTTTACCCTCTCCGCCTACCCCCATCCCCTGGACCTGGACGGGGGGGTCCGCAAGGGGTTGGAGCGTCCAAGATGGCCCACGACGGCTCCAAGAGCGCCTCAAAGAGTCCAAGATGACCTCCAATATGGCTCAAGATAGCCCAGGCTGCCTCAAGATGGCTCCAAAGATGTTCCAAGATTCCCTAAGACCGCCCGAAAACGGTTCCAAGAGGCCTCCGAGACCTCCAAGGAGGCCTCCAAAAAGCCAAAATCCTTCACAAACCTACAGAAAACAAATGTTGTCTTGCCATCTCGCCTTTTCGCTTCCGATGGCCATCCGAAGCCTCAAGGTGGCTCCAAGATGGCCCGACAGGGCCCTAAGAGGGGCCCAAGAGAGCCCCAATACGGCCCCAAGAACGCCCAAGAGCGATCCAATAGCGCGCCAAGAGGGGTCCAGGAGGCGATTTCTGGGGCTCCCGAGGGGCAGCGCCAATTGAAGCTTCCCTCTCCTTTGATCGAAGACCCCCAAGATGGAACCAAGAGGCGCCCAGGAGGCCCCAAGAGGCCCCAAGATGGCCCCAAGATGGCCCCACGATGGTCCCGAGAGGCTCCCAAGAGGCCCCCAAGAGGCCCCCAAGAGCCCCCCAAGAGGACCCCAAGCGGCCCCAAGAGGCCCCCCGAGGCACCCAAGACGCCCAAGAGCCTCCCTGGACCGCCAAGAGCCCCAAGACGCCCCAAGACGCCTCCGAAAGGTTTCCAAGATTCAGCCGAGAGGCATTCAATATGCTTTGGCTATTTTGCTGGTCTTCGTCATCCTCCTTTTTCTCCTCCACATTCTCCTCCGGCTCCTCCTCCTCCCCCCCCTCCTCCCCCTCCTCCTCCTACTCCTCCTCCTCCGCCTCCTCATCCTCATCATCATCATCATCATCCCCTTCCTCCTCCTATTCACCATTCTTCTCCCCACTCCCTCATCCATCCATCCATCCAGCCTCTACCTCCTTCTCCTCATCCCTCCTCCGCTCGGTTCGGTTGTCCCCTTCTTTGCTCCCACATCCCCCTGGTCACCTCAACTCGCCTGCGCGTCGTTTCTGGATGGACTGGTGGTGATTTTTTTTTACAGCTGCAGGCGGAAGCGCCACCGGCGGAAGGTCTCGAACGGGCCGCGGACGCGACTAAATTACCTAAACTGGTGGTGACACGCGAAGCGTCATGAATTACACGCACACTCGATTGTCGATGATAACGAATGGTGATGGTGACACTGGTTACTCGATGATGTCGGAAAATGATGACCACGAACGACGGCGATGATGACGAATGATGATGATGACGAATGGTAACGAATGGTGTTTGTCGACGATGGCGAATGATGAGGATGATGATGATGATGATGATTATGATGGGGAATGGTGATAGTGACAACACAAGCGTCCTGGCGCAAGCAACAGGCGCCAACCTAAGCTTTTTCGTGAAACCGGCGCACGGAATTCTGGGGCATGTTTTGGTTCTGGGAGGCTGCGTGCGCGATTCGATAGCTGGACTGGATTCGCCCGAATATCTGCCCCCGTGAGAAGGTTGCCCTCCATGACGACGACAGCTCGTTTAGCTGCAGCGGTTACATATACTCGCATAGTGGCAACACGGTCAAAGTCCAATAGTAGATGTTGTTGTTCGGATAAAAACTACCTTTGACACTTCGGCCGCAAAGCAGAAATCCACGCAGTGTCCATGCTCGTCGAAGTCCAATCCAGAACTGTCGTTTTCGTCCGTGGAGCGCCTTGGGATATGATATGTCTTGGTTGTGTAAATGTCCTGTGGACTACCCCGCGTAGGCACGTGCCCCCGCTGTTCTTAAGCTACTGTGACCAGCACGCTGTTATCAGAACTCATATGTCGGTGCCGTGTAGAGTTTTTTATTGGAACTGTCTCCAGTAGTTCCCTTTCGTCTTCTAGTGCTGCATACCGTACTTCCATAACGCGTGCCTCGAGGTCCGCCTCTGATTCCCCCTAGATTGCGGAAAGCCGAACCACCATGGGTTCGGCTTCTGGGGCCCCCCTGGCATCACTGCCTTGCGCTGGCATGTCGGCCAGTTCTTCGAACACCGTCACATATTGATCGAAGCCCGCTTGAGGTTTGGTGGACTTCAGGCGCTGGATGGTTCTAGAGTGTGCTGATCCAGTTATGTATGTAATACTTACGGCAGCGCCTTCGGCTCCGTAATAATGGAAACCTGGGTTTACGTTACTGTCATAATGCACCAACGCACAACTGTCAGCATACGTTACCGGAGGTAGCTCGTGAATGCTCCTAGCGAACCGAACATGAGGTACTCAAGAGCTCAGTGTACCTCCAGAGATAGTCGGCTCGCACACGTCATGTGGAGCACTCCGTCTGTTGTCGGGAAGCATCCGAAGGTCATAGCAGGTCGCCCCGCAGGTAGACTGGCTATAGACGCCAACTCAGTCGGTAGCGCTGCGATGCCCGAGCCAATCACTCGAGTGATCTGAGCCCCAATGAACAATGACTGCCTTGCGGTTCCCAACTCTCATGATAATTTGACCTCTGTCAAGATCGTTCCTGACGACCGGGAGAGGTCCATTCAAGCCACCACAATCGTCTTTCGCAGCTGCGGGGCGATGATAATCAACCAGATCTGCCGCGTCATAATAATTCTGACCCGTCAAGGTCGTCTGGGTCCGTTGTGCACGGCTTGTTCTTGCCATTAGAGTGGCTTGCGCAATATCCTCAATGCTCGCCAAGCGGATAGTCTGTCCTCGAATACGATCGGATGTATCCGTCTGTTGTTCGCGATCTAGACAGGCAAGTCAGGTAGAATTGCAGGTTGTCGGCCAAACAGCGCGCTGCATGAAGATACCCCATTGCAAAAGGTAAACGTACCGGGGGAAAACAATGTCTCATGCAAGAGTCGGGTGAACACAAGTGGACTGTTTAACCTCTCGAGTTCAGCCTCCATGACATGAAGTGTCGTAGTATGTCATTTCTGGCTTCAACAGTGGTAGCGCGTTGTCCACGCGCGCGTATTCTTAGCTCAGTGCCCTCTGCCATAAAGACTGCCTTTGCGGCGTCATCGCTGAGGGCACCTTCTCCGTCAGAGCGCAGTGCGTTGGCAGGGGTGGCGGTGGAGGTGGATCACCTCCACGTTGTCGTCCACGTCTGGCTCCCGTTTGTGGCAATCGTCCGCGGCCGTCCAAGCTGCCCGCGCCACTTGAAGTCGGTTGCCCCACAGTCGGCCCAGCAGCATGTCTGCCTACTGCAACGTCGCGACTGCCGGCGCCTGCAGTCGGCCCAGCTCGGAGGCCAGGATTCGGAGCTCGTAGCCGCGCTACTTGTTTGGCGGCTGGTGCCACGGAGGCAGCTTCCGCCGCAGGCGGCGGTGCGTCGGAAGAAGCTGCCGCCGCAGGCGGAGGGGCAGCAGGGGCCGGAGGCCCGTCCGCGGTTGTCAGGCAGCTTCCACGGGTTGGGAAATTTATATGAAATTTGTATTTCCCAGGTGTAAGTAAGTGGCCAGGCTTAGCCAAGTTATCCTCTTTGTCGCGCGATGGGGAGCCCATGCCGACGCTGCCGGCGCGCGCAGGACATTCCCACCCCCCTGGTGGCGGTCGCACGAAACGTCCGTCAGGATGT